GTCCCCAAACTATCCGCTCAACTACAACAACAACCACGAATGTATCTACTCCATCCAGACACAGCCAGGAAAAGGAATTCAGCTCAAAGCCAGAGCTTTCGACTTGGAGGCTGGGGATGTCCTCAAGGTAATGATTCATCATCCGACAGTGGCAAAGAGGCTTATGGTGAGGTTAAAATAAACAGCATGGCTGAAAATCAGCTCACTTCCAAATTGCTTAATCCCAAACAGAATTTGCAGCCTTGCCAAGCAGAAAAGCACAATCACAAAGCAGTCCATCAGTTGTAAATAGACTTGTCAGAGGTTGGCAGCCTGTCTTCCTTTAAACTTTATGGGAGAAAAAAAATGTTCTCAAAGGATTGCTGTGGAAAGGTTGTGTTGTTGTTTTAATTAAATGCCACTGGGAACATAGAAGAACAGTCAATTAGGACAAAACACCCACCTCTTCAAAGGATAACCATGTTGGTGATGAGTCTGACTTTCTGGCTGAGATCCTGTTCAATACCGGTGGAGCATAATGCTCCCCACCAGCGTACCTATCACAGCCAAAGTGGAGGTGATGTGGATTCCTGCCATTCCAGTGACCATTCTACTCATGAACAAAATGATAGAGCTGTGCCCATGCGCCACTTGATTCTAGAGGCTTCATTGGGAAAGTTGCCCCTTGACATGCCATACTCCAAAGGGCCATCTCCACATACCTTAAGAGCAGGCTATTTTCCCCTCCCATATGCTCAACAGTTCTTTTTAAAAGTCTATTTGAAGACATACCAATTTTTGCAAGTCTTCCCAGCATGGGTTAGTCTGTCAAACTCTAAGGCCATCTCATTGGTTCAGTGACTCTAATCTAGTTGAGACTACCAATAGAATTCAGACTTCTCTCTCTTTTAAAATGTAAGTGGTTTATTAATATTTATAGATATATAAAATGACCCCCTTTTTACATAAGTGAGTGCCTCTTCTCAGAAGATGCATCCTATGACATATACTTCTTTCCTTGAAAACCATTGTTTTAGTTATATACAAATTTATTCTTATTTAGCAGATTAGTTGCCGCATTCACATAATTTGATTAATCAGTTAAGAGTTTTTAGTTGGATGATTGAACTGCCACTGTGCCCATTACTCTTCAGCATGGGCCACTCATTTCTCTAGAAAAAGTCACCAGAATGAGAAATTGCAGCTGGCATTACAGTTCCAAGATCTGACATTCTGCTTACAATCTAGTTCAGAGGTAGGCAACCTTTCCCCTTTAAGGGCCGAGGGACTTCAGCTCCCAGAAGCCTCAGCCATGTTGGCCAATAGTCCCATGTTGGCCGATAGCTCCTGGGATTCTGGGAGCTGAAGTCCCTTGGCCCTTAAAGGGGAAAGGTTGCCTACCCCTGATCTAGTTGCTTAAAATCTGTAAGCCATTGGTCTATACTACAAGCCATTGCCCCATAGTACACAACGTGTTCTCCATCCATGTACCTTGTCACTATCTAAACACCCACAACAGAGCTCAAGTCAGCAGCATGAGGCACCGTATGATTTAGCACTGGAACCCTCCTTTCCTGGGACATGTCTTACATTTCAACCTCCTGTCCAGGAATATTTTCAAAATGTCTTCCATTTTGAGCATGACTAAGAAGCATGAATGTACATTCCTATTATTGTTTTTAGCTTTTATGTTGTAATGTCCTAATTCTTCTTGAATACCTTACATTTTGTGGTGCCTTGTCCTCCTTTGCAGTTATGACATCTGATCACCCTGATGGGAACCATGTGACATTCCTCCATCACTACTTAATGAAAACATCACCAACCCCAAAACTATTAAAGTAGCCAAAAAGTTACAGCTCCCATTTCAGTGGAAAGGTGAACCCATTCTGGATTTTGATCTGTTCATCATTGGATCTATGTATGGGAGTCAAGCCTATCTCCAAAATAGGTTAAAGGAGCTTGGGCATCTCCTTTATATTTATATCTCCTAAAACCCAGAATAAATTCAGCACCCCTTCATATGGAAGACACCAGCTGCTACTAAAAATTACAGTCAAATCAATCAAATCTTTCACATTACACTTATAATATAGCTTTGTTATGCCTTAGTTATTGGGAGAAGAGTTAATTACACAGATCTCCTTCTTTGTAATGGGTTAGTTTCAAACTTTAAGCTATATAAGCAAGAAAGGTAGAGAAGGAGTATATGGTCATCCAGAAGTGGACTTTTGGAGAGGAGGTCAAGGCAGGCGATGGATATGGAGAGATTCCTTCTTCATTTGCAGTGCTTCCTCTCTTTTCCAGATTTACGATGGCAATAATAACTCGGCTCGCCTCCTGGGCTCCTTCAGTCAGAGAGAGATGTTGGGGCTCAGCGTCAACAGCACCTCCAGCACCATGTGGCTTGAATTCATCACAGATGGAAACAACACAAGCCAAGGTTTCGAATTGCAGTTTTCTAGTAAGTACAAACCTGAGGCGAAGAATGGAAGTATTATCATAAGAAGGTTTTCTTTAGCCTGTTGCTTGAAGCAGTGTAAATCACCCCCCCCCCTCAAAGACAGAAAGAGTGGCTGAGAAATAAGAGTGTGCCAAAAGCAAAGTTGCTGAAGTAAAATAGCTAGAGGCAAGATAAAGACCAGACTTTCTGGAAAACTTCACTTTATTTACAAACTCCACTCTATCAACAGTGGGTTCAAATAGACAATGGCTTCCTGGCACACCACATGTTATAACACTGCTTAACACCCAGCAACATGAAGACACTCTTGATCAGTTTATCATATCTCCTTTCTATTTCCTAACCTGCACACACCCCATCCCAAAATTCCCTCTGCCATTCATATGATCATCCACCCACCCTGGCCTTAGGCACCATCTTTCCTCCTGCCTTTGTCCCTCAACAATAATAGTCAAAGTCACCTCCTCACTGTACCCACAAGTTTTGCATTTCTATGGCTATTCATACAGTCTAATGATAAAGGTCCTTCCTGGGCACCAGTTCGCTCCATGCATCTGAGGAAGCAGACCATCTCTGCAAAAGCTCATGCTATAACTTTTTTCACTTAGTTATCCTTTCCTTTTGCTTCCAGGTTTTGAATTGATCAAATGTGAGGACCCTGGCATCCCACAGTTTGGCTACAAGGTCCATGATGAGGGACACTTTGCAGGAAGCTCCGTTTCCTTTAACTGTGACCCTGGTTATACATTGAGGGGAAGCCGAGTTTTGACCTGCTTAACTGGAGAACGTCGATCCTGGGATCAACCTCTCCCCATCTGCGTAGGTATGACTCTCCTTTTTTGTGTGAATGCAGCCTTTGCAAGGGACAATATTATTATTATTATCATCATCATCATCATCATCATCATCATCAATGACTTGTCCTGGTTTAATGACAAAATTAATTTCAAGAAAACTTGTCCTCGCCAGAGCTTGGGAAAAAAATGGGTTTTTTGCATTACAACTCCCAAAGCCCATCAATCAGTATGGCCACTGGCATGTCAGGATCTTACAGGGAAGATGGGTATTTGCAAAAATTCTTTACATTCCTAGGAAGTGAGCAACCAGCTCTCCAAAAGTGGAATTGATCTACCACAGGGCCATTCCACAAGATTTACTTACTAGTGCTCCACACAGTCTAGTTTTAAACTGCTGGCAGTAGTTTTTTAATTGCTGTTGTTTCCATTTCAGGTTCCACACCACCCCTTTTCCAATAACCTTCAGGTTAACTAAGCTATCAATAGAAACAGGGCTGTTTGTCTATTTTAATATACTGCGATGATGCAAATCAAACCCTCCTTTTATTGCAATATCTTGTTTTAACACTTTGGCTACATTTGGCTACATGAGCGTATTCACTTGACGCTTTCCTGCAATGTTTTCAGAATTCTACCTAGAGGGAGAGCTAGAGACGATTACTATTGTCTATGTTTTCTATGCTTTTGTTTGTCAGATATAATATGTCAGCAAAATCAGCACTGTTTCATGTAAAATCTGTATGTGTGTGTATATATCAGAGGTAGGCAACCATGACCTTCCCAGTGTGTCTGGATGATAGGTCCCATAATTTCTTTTCATTGATGATACAGATTAGGGCTGATGGGAACTATTGGCTCACTGCTGCTCATCCTGACATATGGAGGGCAACAACAGGTGGTCAAAAGTTGGTGTAATAATGACTTGCGGAAGCCAAAGCCAACCTTACTATCTGGAAGATCGGGCAGTAGAGAAAGGCAAGCAAGGAAGGCAACCTCTCAGTTCTACCTCCTGAACTTGCTCACTGGAATCCTGTTGCTTTCTGGTGCTTGCATAATTTCCCCTTCAGAAGGACATGAAGAAAGCAGGGCATCTGCATTCAGCTTGAGGTTGCAGAAGCCGAATTTCACATTTTGATGCCATTTCACATGCAGATGTGTATTGTACATTTGATTCTGCAATAGGTTGCACATTGGGCATCTTGGCTCGGTTGCACAATGTTGCCATTCAATGCAAGGGTTATGTAGCACAATCGATGCACAGCTCCATTAGAGAAGGAAAGAATACTCATCATTATTTGATCCCATGTGAAAAAAAGCAGAGTTCCCAACAGATGGAAAACCCTGTTGGGAAGAATAACAGACCAGCAAGAATCAGGCACAATTTTCTGTTTGTATTTCAGCATCCAAAAAGGTTGTAAATTGATTATTCTGCATAGAAAAGCATGTGGGTGAGGTGAATAAATCTGTTCTCTGTGCAGAAAATAGGTTTCCTTAGTAACTCCCTTTTTTCTGCACAGGAAAAGAAAGGAACAAATGTCATTTTGAACCTGTTTGTTGAATTATGGTGGCGTTTCTTTCAGCTGAATGTGGGGGCAGTATCAGAGGTGAGTCTTCGGGAAGGATCTTGTCTCCCGGGTATCCCACACCTTATGACCACAATCTCAACTGTGTCTGGACAATTGTGGCCGAGGCTGGTTGCACAATTGGGTAAGTTTGTTTGCTTCTTTGTTGAAATATTTTTAGAATTCTATAAATTGAGAGCCAGCATGGTGTAATGGTTTGAGTACTAGACTACGACTTTGGAGTCCAAGGTTCGATTCCCAGCTTGGCCATAAAACCCATTAGGTGACCTTGGGCAAATCACATGCTCTCAGCCTCAGGGGAAGGCAATGACAAACCTCCTTTGAACAAATCTTGCCAAGAAACCCCCATGATAGGTGCACTTTAGGGTTGCCCTGAGTCAGAAATGACTTGAAGGCACCCAGCAGCAGCAACAACAACAATAGCATGAGATCACATGATGAATACAAGCTAAGCAGCTTCAGACAGTGAAATAATTTAAACAAGCTAAAAACAGGATTAAAATTTTAAAACAATTAAAAACCATGTGTATGGGTGTTTTGGAATAAATCAGACACCAAAGTGAGCCACATTTTGACTTAACACTGAAATGAAGCCAGCATTCACAGAACAGTGACGTTCAGCACCACTGTGCTCCAAACCTTGCCCTCACAACATCAAATAGCACCACATCTAGGAAACATTACCTGACATCCTCTTAGTGACTGATACATATGTGGGTCTCCTTATGGAAATGCATGGACCTTTCTGTCCAGTGAAGAAATACTCAGCTGAATGTTTGTAAACAGAGCTGTGCATATGGTACAATTGCACATGTGTCACCCTTGCACATTATTCATGCAGGTGGGCATTGTGCATTGTTACATATTTCACATTGCAGTCATGCATTTCATATTTGATTATCTGTTCCATTGTGCTGTGTTGCCATTCGCTAATGAGTCAGTATTGCACAATTGTCATACAATGCCACAAGTGTGCAATTATGCTCTATCTCTTTGTTATAGGATCTCAGCTATTGCCTTTTTATTCCCAGTTTCCCCCACTAAGGGATTCTGTGGGTTGTAGAGGGGGGAAGTAACTGAAGCTTTGAATAGGACCATCCATTCATGCCCCCAAATGCTGATTTGATATCATTGCAAGTACAGAACAAGTGCCTGTGTACAAGGTGCTTGTGCTTGAAAATGAAAAGCAAAGAAATCAATGCAAAAGCCAGCAACAAAATAACCCGACATTTCTGGCAAGAGAAGCAACCTGTGCAAATTATGCAAATTGATCCTGTTAGCATGGGTTTTTTTACACTTCACTTAATTTATTTTGCAGCATTTACTATTTGGTACCAGCAGGTGAAGGTTAAAAAATAAAATAGTGAGGTTCATAATCAGTAAATTAATCAACTCAGATTTTTTCTTTTAAAACAAAAAAATCTTGTAGACTAATCAGTGGCTGAAGACTGGTTTTACTCAGTAAAACTGTGAGTTAATTGCAGACTCTTTTGAGGTCAGTTTCATCTTTTTGCATTGCTGAAATCATGAAGGAGAATAAGAAAAGTGATACCAGATCTTACTATCTTCTCTTCTTTGGAAACTCCATAGTCACTAACATAGGGTTTCCAAACCAAGAATTACTCAGATCCATCCTTCTTGCAGCTGCAACAATGTTCACAACATTGCTTGCTTTTAGAGTGTTCCAGTACACTGCTTTCAGAGTGTGTAGGAAAAAGTCAAAATGGAAGATTGTGACTCCAAATCAAACTCAGGATACATCTATACTGTGGAAATAATGCAGTTTGACACCACTGTAAGTTCTGTAGCTCCATCCAATGGAATCCCAGGATTTGGCATTCTTTGCCAAAGAGTAGTGGTGCCTCACAAAGCTACAAATCTCAGGATTCTGTAGGAGGGAGCCATGGCAGTTAAAGTGATTTATTGAACAATTTTCTTCAGTCATTATTTGCCCTTTACAATTGAAATTCTGGAAACTCAAATACAACATGATGCTCATTCATTACTTTTAATTAACTTATATATGTTCATGTGTTTTAAGCCTGCAGTACAGTTTTCCATCACTAGAGGCAGATGGCCCTAACCACTGCATAACTTTGCAGTTGACCATTTGCAGCCAAAAGGAGGAACCAAGTTGAAATCTACCTCCTGTCCTCTGCTGTGGGGTAGTCCCCATCATGGAAATATGTACTCCATAAGACTATGGCTACATCAGGAGATGCACCATGTTAGGATGCCTACAAGAAGCAGGGGCTGTGCTTTCACTGAGGCTAGGCAAGTACAATGGGTTCAGATCTGATAGCTGTGTCATTTGTTCAAAGCCTTTGTGATATCAAGCTAAGGGCTATTTTAGCCTGCAAAAGACTGAGCATGTTCACTAGTGCTAACTAAAAAGCCAGAGGTGTAGCCTTCTTGGAAAAGCTGTGAATTAATAACCATGCAGTTGTCTGACATATATAATGCATTGCCATAGTACCCATTATCTCAAAGATGGGATTAAAATATTAAAAGCTTCACGCTGCTGCCACCGCCTAACAAGGGGAGAAAGAAGGGTAATAATAAAGAAAAAAAATAGAAGCATCTGTTCAATTCATCTTCAAGTACAGAGAGACCTTTTAAAAAGTCTATGGCTTTTCACTCTTCCTTCCCTACCTGGTTAAAAGGCATTGAATTGAAGGCTCTTTTTCAATTGAATCTACTTATGCTGGTCTAGCTATTTCAGCCTCTTCATAGCAAATATCTTATTTCCTCTGACTCTAAGCTATGTTATATTTCATGTTTCTCTTTCCCAACAATCTTGAAATGTGTGTCTGTGTAGAGACTAAAAGTGTGCCCATACTACATAACTTACATTGGTCTCACTCTACTTTAATTGTCATGGCTTCACCCTAAGAAATCCTGAGATTCGTAGTTTGATGAGGTACATAAAATTCTCTGCTAGAGACATCACCAGTTTGGGAGATGTCTCTTTAACTACAATTTCTAAGATAATTTATCTGTCAACTCTGCCAAATTAAATTGGTTTAATCACCAGTCCTCATCTTCTAAGGGGACCTTGGTACCTTCTACGTACTGCATCTAACTGCAAATTCCAGGATTCCATGGGATTAAGCCAAGACAATTAAACTGGAATGAAACTGATATAGCTCTGTAGTACATATACACTTATTTATTCCCCCAGAGAACCTTAAAAACACTTACACAGTGAATCATGGGAAGAAATAAATCTTAACAGAGTTCCTAACACTCTCACTGATCCAAGGATTCTTTGGGAGAGGCTGAGGCATGTTTAAAGGAGATACTAACTTTATAGTCTAGAAATAGCCTTATTGTCTGTTCTCTCCCCACCCTTCAACACAGGCTCCATTTCATGGTTTTCCACACAGAAGAATTCCATGACGTTCTGAGAATCTGGGATGGTCCAGTGGAGAAAGGAATTCTCTTGAAGGAAGTCAGTGGTTCCATCTTGCCCAGTGATGTCCACAGCACCTTCAACTCAGTGGTCCTCCAGTTCAACACTGATTTTTTCACCAGTAAACAGGGTTTTGCCATTCAGTTTTCAGGTAGGTCTCATGAGGAAGGCTGGTGATCTTGAGGAGTGAGGTGGAGGTATGTAGAGAGCTAAAATGGGGTAATAGTAATACTATCCCATGGGTGCTTTCAGCCACCACAAATTCTAGACAGTTGGCTGCATATGGTTCAGATCTTATAGTGACCACTATCCCATCAGTATCATATACATATGTGAGATCCTTTGAACATGTAATTATACTTTTGAAATTGTTATGCAGTAGACATATTTAGTTAATGGTTGCTACAAGATTTCTCATGGACCTAAAACCATCATCCAGAGTCCCTGCCAAGAGGATGAGGACAACTTTTTATTTGGCCCTTTTAGACAGGGCCTAAGTTTGTTTTTGCATGCAAAAACAAATAATTTGAGCAGTTTTCTTCCCACTGCAGGTGAGAATACAGTGGTTTCTGCAGTTTTCAACCACTTCAAGACTTCTTAGCTGATTATTTTTTTTCCACTGTGCAATCCATGATAGACCTCAGGCTTCTCCAAAAAGGGGAAACCTCAGGCTTCTCCAAAACAAAGTCAGTGCTTTATTTATTTCTATTTATTTTACAGTCGGGATGGAGTCCTTCATTTCAGAGTGCTGAAATGGGTTCCTAATTGCTCCTACCATACCTCTAGTATAGTACAATTCTTCATTTCTATTCCTTATTTTTAAAGCCCAGGGCTTTGAAAAGAACAAGAGCACATTTTCACTTAAGACAACATTAGATTTCCCAAGTTCCTCTTTTCCCCTCTGTGAAAAGGTCAGCCCTGCCCTGCTCTCTGAAACCCGGAGACAACAATCCTTTCAATCAGTCACCAAGGGAAAGCTGCTCTCAGTACAGAGAGCATATGGTTGAGATAGGATTATAATAAAGTGCCATGTAAGATTAGCAGATGTCCACCCATATTAAGTAAACATGAGAGGGAACTAATGTGCATCATCAGGCTGATCTCTGCAATGCATACTTCAACTTGTATCCCCTGCAGCTTTTCCCAGCTAGAGAAACAGATATTGGCTGGAAACCTGATGATATGTTCCCTTACACATGTGGTTACACTTTTGTAGCTATGGCACAACTGACCTATTCAGTTCATGGTTGCATACAGCAGATTTTCACAAGTGTAGTAGCCATCTCACGTGGATCTAAATTCTACTTACTAGAGCAGTTTCACTGAATCCCTTGCATTTATCTATGGCTTAACTCACCAACCAATGATTAAATGGGTCTACTCTAGTTGGGATTAACCAATAGGATTCCAACCATGCAGTTGGGCACTCTTGGATGGTGTGTAACTATTTGTCAATGCCTTCATTGCCTATTTAATTGGGGTAGCAGAAAGCCACTAGGCATGCATCTGTGACTTCTTTGATGGAGTCAAATCCCCCATGTTGTCATCTTCCTTTTTTCCTGCCTTCCACTTTCCTAAGTATTATCATCTTTTCCATTGAATCATGTCATCTCGTAATATATCCAAAGTAGGATAGCCTTAACTCTATCATTTTAACTTCTAGGAAGGATTCAAGTTGGATATGCTCCAGGCCCCATTAATTTTTCTTTTCGCTGGCCATGGCATCAGAAAAACACTCCTGATGCAGCCATTCCTTTCAAAATTGCTACAGGTCCCTCATATTCTCTGTGAATGTGACTCTTGACTCTGAAGAGCTAATGTAAATGGTTCACATGG